TGATGCAATTTTCGTTTAGCATATCAATGTTATCATTAACAAATTTAAATATTTTGAACTTATTTATGGAATTTGAAGATTCACAAATTTCGAAATCTTGCATATATATATTAGCATGAAACACTTCCACATATGCATAATCTAATCGGAGCTGATATATTAACGCAGATCGTTTTTGCTTTTCAGAAACAATGTAGTAGCAAACCTTGCTGGAATGATTGATTTACCAATGATCAAATAAGAACACGTTGCCACTGCAAGAAGCAAAAGTAACTGCTTCATTGAAAAATGAAAACATTTTATTGCCATTCTTTTCACAGCATTAACGACTACTGGTTGCAAATTCGTGAACAATGTGTCTATATTGTTATAATATGGTATAATCCGGTATAATGTTGCTGACCTAAAATACAAATATTAAAATTGGAAAAGTGACAAATAAACAATCTACAAAATTATGATGCTAAAAGCAAAGGGATGACCCTCCTAACTCATAAAGTGTGAAATCTACTTAAATATTAGGAAGTATTTCAGATTCAAGTTTTTCTGGAATACTGATACTTATTTCCAAATGCTCGAAAACTCCCAAAAATTAAGAAATGTTAGGAAAGACTACAAATGAACTGAACAACAATTCAGTAAATTATATTCAATAATCGTAACATATAATAAAAATATTAGCTCACGAAGTGCAAAAACTTAAATATGTTCTTAGTAGAATTTCAAGAAATATGATTTATGTTCTCTTTTTTTTCGATTGGCAAATGAAATTACAAATGCATTATTTGCTTATTTTTTTGCTTACAAGGACAGTCATGATAAAACTGATAGGGATATTTGCATAGATTGAAGTTGCATAAACATTTCTATGAATGCATTTGTAATTTGCTTATTCAACCACTAGGACTACTTGATTTTTTGCTAATAATAGGATGGCAAAATAATTGTTCTCTGGCAGCGAGAAAATGATGGTTTATATAGGAATTTACATAACCGAAGTTTTTTCTTTTCACATTTAGAAAAGTACTTTCCTGTTCTGAGAAAACTTTTATGAAATTTTATGACATTCGTTTAAATCATAAAAATAGATTCATCAAATATGGGCAATTAATCGAATATTACATGGCATGTAACTTTAAATTACACACCATTCGGGCACACCTCAAAAAGCTAGATCTTCACTACTACACTTCATATCTTAGAAATATAATAAAGAGTTATTAGCAACATATTATGATCAATAAATTTTTAAAAATTCTTAAAATGACGATAAAAATTAAAAAAAGGTTACCATAGCACAGTATGTTGAGATGATCATCTCTTCAGATCAATAAAAACCACGTGAAATTTGCCATTTTACCATCATTCAATGACAAATCGTAAATTCCCGAAAATAATAGAATACGATTAAATATTATTACATTAATAAAATAAATGCACAATACGCGTAAGATAAAATATGCATTTCGAAAGAAAAAAGTCGAACTAAAAGTATCTTAACGCCTAATTTTCCGAATTACTCACAATTGATAGTATAGCAAAGGCTTTTTACTATATTATCATTTGTAAACCGAAACTTAAATTTGGATCCAAATTCAATATCTAAAAAGCGAAAAAGAGAGGGGAAAAGAAAGAGAGAGGGAAAAAAAGCAACACTGAATAACTGTCAGTTTTGGTGCTTTTAACACTTTTCATATTTTCTCTTAATATAAACAAACCATTGTTTGAGATATGATGTTAATTAATATTAAGCGAGAGAAGTGTATTTTATTACATGAAAAGTAAAATAATCATCACGTAACCTTGAAGAACGTGAAGAAAAACATACACTGATTGGATTATCAAGTAATAATAAGATTCCAGACAAAAACCCATCCTGAAGAAAGACAAGAACATTACAACAACTGCTCATCTACTCCCGCCAAATTCTTCTATGTCAATATAACCAAAGAGAAGTGAAAAATACGGCCGCGGTACGACTAGATAGGGTCATTATATCTTTCTTAGGTTAACAACAAGATGAATTCTATTGATTTTGACATGACAATTTTCTTTTTACTTTAAGAATTTTACGCCTTATAACTTTAAAATCAATTACTATTTAATAAGGTAAAAAAAGAAAAAGAAATGAAAATTTCAATAAGTAAATAAAAAACCCATCCGTTGTGTTATTCTAAAATTCAAAACATTTCATCGGTTATATTCCATTTTCTTTTCTCTCTTTCTCTCCCTCTTCCTCTCTCTCTCTCTCTCTCTCTCTTCCCATACAATATACAGGAAAGAAACAACAAGAATATTTCATTCCTAATTGGTTGCACCAAAATAGGAAAACAGAAAATTTTTTGAAGTAACAAAAAATATACGTGTAGAGATAGGAAGTTATGCATATAGACAATGGCATATACATATAGAATAAGAAACATATAGAAGCATATAAAAAACAATACGTCATATTCAATAGAGGCAAATAAAATTTTATTGAAATTTGTTGTCGAAAATTTAACATAAATTTTAAAAACAAAAAAAATTTATTATTAATTAGAATATGTCAAATTAAATAAATGATAAATTCAATGAAATAGTTGAAATTGTAAATTGACATCGATCATTTCCTCATATTCACATTCTAATTGAATTAAATGTTTGTATCATTGCATTGTTGTAAATATTATTTATTAAATTAATCATTAAGCTTTTTACATAGCTAAATTATTATGATCGATACTTTTATGTTAAAGTCGTTGTAAGAAATTTTTGAAAATTGAAAAAGTTTTATTTTTATATCGATAATAATAATTTATTCGCGCTGTTATATATAAACAAAAAAAGATTGGAAAATTTCATTTAAAATAATTAATTAATTTTTGTTAATTAAAGGAAAAACTAGAAAGTTTTAGTAGAGGAAGAGAATGTTTAAAAAGGCTGCTCAAAATGAAATTGTTGAACTTTTGAAAATTTCAACAAATTTACTACATTTAAACATTTTTTTCTCATTCTATACAATTTCGAATAATTTCAATTAAATAAATTGAAATATTAAATATTGAAAATTTTAAACGGAAAATATAAAAGCAGTATTTTCAATTTTTTTTAACAGCCATTTATTAGCCATTATGCATTAAATAATTCTATGGCTAAGCTGATAAATATAAAGTAAACAAATAAAGTAAATAAAGTTATCGTTATCCAAACAGATATTAGTAAGTGCTTAAAATAAATTTATGAAGTAAGCTTTCAAAATTTAATTAGATAAGCAAAAAGAGAGATATTTGATCTACAATTATATCATCAATTTTCCATATGATTAATTACTTTCGATTACTATTGCTACCAATATTTTTGTAGTATTGTAAAACTGTGCTAGTTTAAAATATTTGTGTATTAAATACTCAGGTATTTTAGTAATCTGATATGTTATATTTCATTTTTTTCTTTCGTTTCGAAGTAGTTGATTATCTCAGGATTTATTATTAAGATAGCCGACAAATAATCGGAACTAAGAATTTCCCTTACGATATTTATCATTCAGGTATTTCATTATCGTGACAAGTTGGTAAGCTAGTACTGCTTAAATAAGTATAGTGCTTTGTCTACCGCTATTTTCTGTATTCGTTATTCAAGCACTATTTAAACGCTAGAATTTTAATTAACAAAATTTAAGTACCAGCAAAGTCAAGAATGATAAGGAGATTTCCAAAGATATCTATTAATTTTAAATTATCATTTATTGATCGGCTAAATTGTCTTTTTCATATGTAGATCATTGTTGATAGCAGTATCAGTATTGATTCAGAAAGAAAAACGAGAAATCTTGATGAAAAATTTCATCATGAAAATTTACTAAAAATTACTGGAATTTGCTAACAAAAATTGTAGTGAGGATAAACTACGTATCAAGCATATTTAATTTCTATCCTTTCTAAATCTGAAATAGAAAGAAGCGAATTTAAAGATATTAAAGGTATTTCGGCATTATCATGATATCCTCCTGATCGTCGTAGCATTTGTTGTTGATATTGTTCGAGTGAGATTTCTTCGCAAATAGTTATAAATTTAAATTATTTAGCAGCAACAAATAGAAAGATTTTCACTATCATTATCATTATCATCATCATCATCATTATCATCCATCTTTTACTTCACTACATTTAAAACTTTATGCTATAATTATAATTAAAATTCGTATCAAATTAAAATTTGAATATTTTGAATTTATTTTTGAGCATTTTTCCAACTTCTCTTTCACTTATAAATTCTTTTAAAGTGGATTTTTTCTTTTGAAGATTTGCAAATATTTTATTGGAAATAAAAATAAGACAAAAGTGTGTATCAAACAAACATATTCCCAATTATTTATTTTGAATTAATTTCAAAATTTTGTTTTTTGTTTTTTTGAATGAAATAAATCTAATTAACAAATAAGTAATTTGTCAATTATTGAGGTGAAATTTGAAGTTTTCATTAATTAGATTGATAATTAGCACTGCTAATTAATTCTCACAGCAAAGAAATCACTATGAATGTGAAGTTATCAAAATATCTCATTGATTGCAAATATCATTTTAAAATAAAATAGCCTTACTAATTAAAGCATTAATTAGCATTTTCTATTGCAATAAATTTTATTGTAATTTTGAAGGACAAATATAATTCTTTCAATTTAATATGAAAGCAGAAGAAAGAAAGAGTATTGAAATGGATGAGAGTGGAAGAGATTGAATTTGAATAAAATTGAATTTTATGCTTTCAATTTAAAATAATAACAAACAAATGAAAAGGAATAAAATTTTCGAAAGAATTAAAAAGAGAAATTTTAATTATAAATAATAACAATTATATTTCTTTCTTTCTTTCTTTCCTTTTCTTTTGTTTAAAATAAATTATTCATAATAACAATTATATTTCTTTCTTTCTTTCCTTTTCTTCTGTTTAAAATAAATTATTCATAATAACAATTATATTTCTTTCTTTCTTTCTTTCTTTTTCTTTTGTTTAAAATAAATTATTCATTGAATTTTTCCAATTATCATTCAATTATTGTTTTTCAACTTTTTTATATTTCTTTATATTTCTATTCATACTGTGTAATAAGTAATTGTATTTTTGCATTTGTATTTTTCTTTTTTCATTTATTATTATATTTTACGAAATGATTGAATTCTTTTTCATTCTTTTGTTTATTTGTTTATTTATATTTATTTTTAATTTATAATAATTAATTTAAATTAATTATTTTCAATGAAAATATTTTAAAGTAAAAGAAAAGAAAATTTAGACATTTTATATAAATAATACTGTCAATTTTTCCCTAACAATTTTACATTCTTTTCAATTTTCTTCATTTCTTTTTAATCCAATGAATCAATCAATTAGTGAAAGAGAGAGAGAAGAGAAGAAGAGAGAATAATGAATGAGTGGACGAGTGGACAAGTGGACAAGTGGACAAGTGGACAAGTGGACAAGTGGACAAGTGGACAAGTGGACAAGTGGACGGGTGGACGAGTGAACGAGTGGACGAATGGACGAATGGACGAGAAATAGTTGTTGTAGTAATGGAATGATGCAATGAAAATGACCACAAATTGTTGCAATTAATTAATGATTTAACATAATGACTACAAATAATTTCAAAAAGTGAAAAATAAAAAGAGGATGAAAATTACTAAATTCTGCTATTTTAATACTTTATTTCAACATACATCCTCCCCTGTACAACTTTTCATATTTCGGATAATGCTAAAACATCGGAAATTATTGTTGAACACAACTGTCAACTATTCGAACGCATCTCTTACATCTTCTTCGCTTCACCCTCTTCTCCCCTTCTTCTCTCTCCTTCTTTGTTTTATTTTTTAACTATCAATCAATAGCTATCAATCAATAGTCATGTGTGTATTTATGTTTATGTGTATGAATGTACATATGTATGTGAAAAAATATATATGTATGTGAATGTATGTATGTATCTGTATGAATGTGTTGTGTATGTGGATATGTATATCAATGTATTTATCTGATGTATTTATATGTGTGTCAGTTGTTGCAAAATGTTAAAATTCAATACCGTTTGCCTGCTTCCCTCTTTTTCACATGTATTAAGTTCGTAAGCTTTTCTAATGTTCGATTTTAACCTATGAAATATCTCAGTAATAGTTTCCGGTTCTCTTCCGGTACGAAAATCAAAAATTTCTGTTGAGATTTCTTAAATGTAACAAAATGTTGAAGATAGATATAATTTTTTTTTGTTCCATCATCTGAATAAATTTCTACTGCTCTAATGATAGATCATTGTTTTAAAGTATTTCCTTCATCAGAAATGTTCTCCACTTTAGTTATTTCTTTTTTTCTTTACTCACATTTAAGAAATGTTATATCTCTTTTTCTTTTTGTTTCTTTGAACAAATGAAATAGTGAAAAAGAAAGTACTGTTAAATAAAGTTAAAAGAATTATCAGTCATCTTTTTGCATTACAAATATTCTGCGCTCTTTTGTTTTCGTAATGAAAATTGTGACAATGAAATGATTCGGTAACGTTTTGCAGGAGATCATCAATGAGTGATAATAGCAGTAACAGACCTCCTGAACTTGATAATTTACTGAAATTGGATGGTTATCTGTGGAATTATCAGAATGAAATTTGTCGCAGATATGGAGTGTTCCTTGATTATTCAAAAAAAATTGCAGAGGTTAAGATTTTGTAGTACATATAACAAAATCTTGAATCAATAATCATTATTCTTAAAAGTATGTTATTAAGTTGGATTATTCTAAAACATATTGTTGTATTTATTTGATAAAATCATAGTATAAGAAGTGATGTTGTGTGCAAGGATATGAATATTTATAAGATTTAACTTTGATTTAAGCTCCAGCAGTACATTTTTTTCATTGTGTTGATTTTGAATAATCGAAATTTTGCGCTGGACAATCAACAGCTGTGCTTATAGTGTGGTGGATGGGAAACATTCACAACAGCTTATCGAGAATATGGTGTTGTGGTATTGAAAGATAATTCAATTCGCTGTCTGGAATGGGCACCAGGAGCAGAAGCTTTATCGTTAGTGGGGGATTTCAGTAAGCTTAAAAATCTCTTATATCTGAATGCGAATTATACTGAGCAGGGGAAAGTTGAAGATATGGAAGTTGTAATTGATCTGACAATTTTATTAAATATAATTTTTTTTTTCGCTGTAGACAATTGGAATACTGAATGTCATCCATACAAAAAACTGGAATATGGCAAATGGGAATTAATTATTCCAGCTGATAAAGATGGTAATTGCCCAATTAAGCACGGATCAATAATTAAGGTATTTCTTCTGTTATTAAAAGTGATATGTTAGAATCTGTCGTATGCTTCTGATATTGTTAAGATAGTAGTTCAATTGAGAATGTAAGCAATTTGTTTAATAATATTTATAAATGAAATAATGAAATGTCATAACCTAAAAGGATACCAATTTTTTTGGCATATTTTCAGGTCGCAGTGAAAAAGAACGGTGTATTTCATTTTAAATTATCCCCTTGGGCGCATTATGTTACACGACCGAAAGAGACAACAGTTTACCACATGGTAGACTATTGATTTCTTTTATTTTTCTTTACTTTGTTTCAAATCAAAAATGTGAAGAAAAAGTAAAAATATTCCAAAAACGGTGTGTCCTTTATACCAAAGGAGTTTGTTTCCTGAATTGCCAAAGATAAATAACTTAGGAATTAAATGTTTGTTAAGCGAAAAATCCTCATGAAGGTTGACGGCTGGACTTCGCACTTTTATTAATTTGTTTATTTTGAACGAGCAAATAGCGTGATAAATTATTCGTTTATTTGTTTTATAGCCCTTTTATAACCCTCCAGAATCGGAACGTTATTATTTCAAACATCCAAAACCATCAAAACCAAAATCGTTACGGATTTATGAAGCACATGTTGGAATATCTAGTAAGGAAGGGAAGGTTAATAGCTACAAGAATTTTGCGAATGACGTTATTCCGAGAATCAAAAAGCAAGGTACTATTTTTTTCCATTTTACATCAATGTTTTCTGGAATATTTTTCAGCTACTGATAACAAATGATGTATTTTAGGTTATAATGCCATTCAGTTAATGGCAATTATGGAGCATGTTTACTATGCCAGTTTCGGTTATCAGATAACTAGTTTTTTCGCAGCATCAAGGTTTCTTATACAAACTACCCTTTTAGGAAATTATATTTTAATTGAAGTAGAGAGATTGGAAGAGAAGCGGGGATTATTCCAGTTGAACTTATTAGTACTGTAATCTATAAATTTGTCTTTAAAAAAGTACGAAAATCTTAACAAATATCGCTTTGTAGTCGTTGCGGGACACCAGAAGACTTAAAATATCTCGTAGACAAAGCACACGAAGCAGGTATCATTATCTTACTTGATGTGGTACATTCGCATGCCTCAAAGAATGTGGACGATGGATTGAATGAGTGGGATGGTACTCAAAACAGTTATTTCCACGACAATAAACGTGGATATCATAGCCTTTGGGATTCACGACTTTTCGATTACACTCAGAAAGTTTTTGAAACTTTTGCAAAAAACTTTTATGAATTAGTTTTTTGTTAATGGAATTAAATTGAGTGGAATTAACTGAGAATTAATAAAAGCATTTCTAATTCTGAAATTTTAAGAAGTTAAGAGAATTTCAGGATCGAAACCCTTCGCTTTTTACTTTCTAACCTTCGATGGTGGATTGAAGAATACAGCTTCGATGGATTTCGATTTGATGGTGTAACGTCAATGTTATACCACTCCCACGGAATTGGTACATAAATTATATGTATGAATTATTAAAAGTGTTGAAGCTAAGTTCCTAAGTTTCAGTGACGGATATGCTCTTTTTCTGTGTTCTGCTTCAAAATTCTGTGGTTTTTAATGCATATCATACCTTAGGATGGTTGTATCCTGGACAGAGCCACGTGTGAATTATGTATGAAGTAGAAGCAAATCGTGTAGCGGTAGTATTCTGATTTGTTTGAGATTTCCTCAGAAATTTATGTGTCGCTGCTGCTTCTTCAGAGCAATTAATCCCTCCTCACGAAAATTTTATAATATCACAAGCTTCGGGGAATTACCATTAATGGTATAATCTATATGCAAAAACCGTAACATCTTGAAAATTAGGCAGCAAAATCCTAAACGTCCTTCAGATATATTAAAAAGATTTAATGGTTCTCACTGACCCTTTCCATTATTATTAGCGAATTTCATCTCTAATTAGTGAGAAAATGTCAAATTTCACGTATAGTTCATTTTTCCGATTACTGGAACAATCAAGAAAAAGCACATGAATCATTTGTGCTTTTTCCTTGGCAACTTTTTATACCCTTTATTGGCCACTTCAAATTTTTTTATTTTTAGTTTTTAAACCTTTATTTTTTGGAATTTTTAAAATTTAAATCATCATTTCATCATTAGATTTTATTCCAGCTGATGCATTAGATGGTGGTTACGATATGTATTTCGGTCTGAATGTTGATACCGACTCACTTATTTATCTGATGCTTGCGAATTCGTTCCTGCACCGCAAATTCCCTAGTATTGTGACGATTGCTGAAGTTAGTTCAGTTTTAACATTACTCTATATGGACATAACTCGATTTTTCCATCAAGCCTTAATTTGAAGTGATAGTTGATTCTGTAATGTAACGAAGCACAACGTTATGCACTTTTTTTTGCAACTGGCAGTTAGTTTGCTAGAATCAAATTTCCTCGAATATCTGCAGAAGGAAAGAATTTAAATTCTGCGCAATTTACGTTCTTTCTTTATAATGCGAATAACTGGTATTTGCTTGAATAAACTGACATTTAATTCAGGTTTTGAGAATCTTTCAGGAAGTAAGTGGTATGCCAGCGTTATGTCGACCAGTCGAAGAGGGTGGACAAGGTTTCGATTATCGCTTAGCAATGGCAGCACCGGATTTATGGATTAAACTTCTCAAACATTTTTCGGATGAAAACTGGGATATTTCTAATTTGGTATTCACGTTGGAAAATAGAAGGTAATCTCATGGTCCAGAGTTTGTTTGTTATTTGCTATTGTTCTTTTGTTATTACAGCATTTTTATCGTACCGGGAACTCTTCTGGCAATTGTTAACCAATTTTAGGTATGCTGAGAAACATATTGCATACGCTGAATCACACGACCAAGCTCTTGTTGGTGATAAGACGATTGCGTTTTGGTTGATGGATAAAGGTTAAACTATTTTAATTCCTTCTGCTTCATTAAATGCATATTGAGTTATTTGTTGTAATAAATATCCGAAAAGAAAAAAAATTCAACTTATTATTGGAGAGGAAAAAATACTTCCATGTAACATTTTATGTTTATAACTGATTAGGTTTTAGAAATGTACGATTGCATGTCTGATACAATACCATTAACTCCAATAATTGAGCGTGGTATAGCATTACATAAAATGATTCGACTTATCACATGTGGATTAGGTGGCGAAGCATGGTTGAATTTTATTGGTAAGGTTTCTTTTTCTCAAAAATTTAAAAAGCTTATCTAATTCTGCTTGATTTAGCACTTACAACTAGGAAACACGCAGCGTGGCATAATACGTTGTTCATTTGGATGAAAAGATAAAAATAATCAGGATCTTGTTTATCATATGATGCTGGTTTGAAGGCATTCATTAGCCGCTTCTTTCAATTAAATAGCATTGTAAACATCTAATAATTAATAACTTTTGGTCGTAAGCTCCAAAATTACGAAAACTGTGCAGTCTGAAAGAAAATTAGCTTCTTTATAGAGAATTTTTCTTTTTTTGCTTTTACTTCTCTCACCTAGTTCAGTTCAACTTACGATAGTGCTTCCATCTTTTGTCGGTAGAAAATTGCTTTAATAGGAGAAATATCTAAAATGAATTAAATATTTTGCCTTTTTTTTTCATTTGGGAATTTGAAGTTTTTCAAATGAACTATAAAGAAGTTGAAACACTTGTCGATGTTCTTTTGCTTGAAAAAAAAAAACAAAAAGAAAATAAGCTTATAGAATAATGGGCAAATAATCAATTGTGACAGAATTATCTTTAATTTTGCTTTGAATGATAAATGATATTCAAGTACAGCATTCATTTGTCCTGTTTTCAAAATCATTACTGCCGTCTAATCATTCCTGTGACTTGTTTCCTAATGATTCACAGGATATCAATCATTATTTAATTTATCCACTTAATTCCTGTGCGGAAATTTTATTTTTAATTTTTCTTAACAAAAACTAGATGTTGTAGAGTGTTTCGCAACTTTCAAAAATATGTGGCACTTGAATGTTGTCATAAATTCTAACAGTGTTCCTATGCAATATTCCATAAGTCTTGGCGATTTAAATTCGATAGAAGTTATATGATACTGTCTCAGTGACCATAAAGTGACTAATTATTATTGCGATTTAAATTTTCCATTTCATTTTACTCCATCAATTTTTCTTTTTTAGGCAACGAATTTGGTCATCCAGAATGGCTTGATTTTCCTCGTGTGGGCAACAATGAATCATTTCATTATTGCCGAAGGCAGTGGAATTTAGTAGATGATGAGCTTCTTCGATATAAATATTTGAATAATTTTGATCGCTCTATGAATGAATTGGAAGAGAAACATCATTTCCTCTCACGTGGACCGGTATAAATAAATATTTTAGCAATTGCAGTAAAACTTCATAAATAGTGATTGATATATCAAACGTAGTGTTAAATTTGCTTGCATTTAATTGAACCGATCATGTGCGAATAATCGCATTTATTGGAATGTGTTATAGAATTTTGTAGGCGTACACTTCATGGAAACATCAAGAGGATAAAGTAATAGCATTCGAACGTGCTGATCTTCTGTTTATTTTCAATTTTCATACATGCAAGAGTTTCTCAGATTATAAAATTGGTATCGAAGTAGCAGGAGAGTAAGTTTTTATGTTGTGTAATGTCGCATTTCTCCAATTTTTTGTCGTTGTTCACGTTTATAGAAAAAGGTTGGAGGAAAAAATAGAAGAAAGAAGGGTTTGTCCGAGTTATTATTCGAAACATTTTGAATTGTTGAATTTAATTGCTGTAAATTAGAATCTTTTAGCAACATTTCAACAAGGGTTTGTCAGCTTGCCAAACACCAGATTGATTTTACCAGTTTTTGAAACAGAAATTTATGTGAAATAATGTATAGCGAAACCAAATAAATAGAATATTTTGAGGTATGCATTGGCATTGAGTAGTGATGACACCGAATTTGGTGGTTTTAATCGACTGGACAAAAATCATCATTACTTTACTTTCCCAGAAGGTTATGCAGGTCGGCGAAATCATCTTTTTGTATATATTCCGTGTCGTGTTGCTATAGTCTTGGAGAAAGTTCCCTGATTCTTTTTCGTTCTTTTCTTGAAATGACAGTAGTTTAAGAAAACTGTGAAGACTACATGTACATAATATATGTACACTTTCACCTTTCTCTTTTTTTCCTTTATTTTAACTTTTATTTTTATTAAAGTTCCCCTTGCAGTTTTATCCGTATTGTTGTATTTTACTGCTTGGTATAGAAAGAGGTCGAAAATTAGAGCAACAACTTTTAGATACAGTTATAGCGTTAACTTGATTTTATCAGGTATTATCCATCCCGATTATCTTCATTATGCATTTCTAACTACTTTAATCATTTTTTAAATAATTTGTTATCATAATGCCTTTGAAATCTGTTAATAGACAACCGTCACCGTTATAATTTTCGTGTTTTGATTGGTTTTATGAAATAACCATATAATTAATTTTAGAATTGTTACCTTATTTCACAAATTTAAAACAATATGTATTTAAGTTATTCCTTCTTTTTCGCATTTTTTCACTGATTAAAATTAAGTCTTCTCTTGTAATTTAATTGCGATGGTTCATCTACAAAACTCTACTGCTTTTTTTGAAGAAAGCAAACGAATTATGTTTTCTACGTTTTAAATCATACGCTTGCTGTGCTTCCGTTCTATTTTTTCAATTTTTCTGTATGAAATTTAGATTTTCAAGTTGTTCAAGTTGTTCATCAGTCGTGCCTTAAGTGCTTTTTTGTATATTAATAAATTGAGTTAATAAAAGAGACATTTTCCATCATATCAAGGGTACGATGCATTTGTTTTCGTACATCAACACTACGCAAAAATTTCCCCATATACCTGTACACCGTACTTGATACTGCCAAACTTTTGCACGTCATATTCTGCCAGAAGTTGTCGAAAGTCAGACATTTTAATCTTTGATGTAATGCTCAATAAGAACTTCGCATTAATATGTACATTGTGGATATAGAAATGATGACAGAAGTATATCTATAAACTAAGAAATGGTAAGTATCATGATACGTGAGAAGTTTAATTGATATGACCGTAACAATTTTGAAACAATCTCACATAATTGTTATAAGCTTTGTATCTTCTTCTCGATAATTCGCCCATATTATCTTTGCAGGTCTCACTCATCATATCATGACCACTCCTGGAAGAAGATAAATTCATTCGTCAGTATGAAGTAACAAGGATGAAAATTCACTTCATGAAACAGGTCAAAGATTAGATTGTTAATTTCTAATTATAATTATCCTCAAGAAGTGGCGCTTAGGAGGAGCAAAAAAAACATATTTCAAAAGTTAACTCATGGAAGAATTTTTCACTTAAGGAATTTTGTTGAAAAATGATTTTTCATAAATTTTTAAAAGAATTGATTTTTTTCAGTTAATCTTTGTAAGGAATAGAAGTGTGTAAAACTTCATTTAATGCTTAAAAATATTATACTGCCTGCTGCACTAATTAAACGTTAGTCATCGCTAAATGGAATTAGAGAGATTTGCAAATTCAAATTATGTGAATTCGAAATACGACCGAATATAAAATGAAGTTGATGATTTTAAAAATAATGATAATAGGAATGTTTTGAATTTTTTTTAGCTCCTTCATCATCAACGACGTTTGATATAAATTAAATTAATAAACTGAATTGAATGATTAAATTTGAAATGAAAATTTCCACTATGATCGTTAAGAGTATCTAAAATAAATATACTAACGCTTATGTGGGAAAAAATATATATTTGTTTACCTCATTCCGAAATAATTTATATAAACAATTACTATATAGGATAATTAACGAATTTCTAGAAGTATTTTTAAAATTAAAATTTAATGCTATAATAATATATCAAACTAACATAGCATCAGGTTTACATGATGTCGCGAATTTTTCAAGTAAGCGATTTTTTTCTCTTTCGCTACTTTTCAAACATTCGTTACGTTTGAATCGCTTAAAATTCTTGGAGTAATCATTTTCAACTTTCTAAAAAAAAAAAACGAATAAATTTAATCTTAGAAATATTAATTAATCAATTAATTGCATGTATCATTAAATTGGAAATAGGTGATTTAACATAAACTCAATATTTTAAATTGAAAATTAATTTTTCAGATTAAATCAAAAATTCTATAAAATTTACCAAATCATTTTTATCATCACTGGTACCATGTACAACATTACGTCTCATTCGATTTCCATTTAATTTTCTTGTAGGATAATGAAGATTTAGATTATCATGATGTTGATGTAATGAATGACTGTCACATTTGCAATGACGCTTTTTACGTTTTTCTACTTTGCAAGAAGAATTTATTTTCTGCAAAAAGAAAGAAAGAAAGATAAATCATAGGCATTTAATGAATTCAATTATTTTAATTGTATATTTTAGGTAGAAAAGAAAAATTTCTTTTTTTCCTAAATTAGTTTAATTTTAATTAAGAAAATTTTTTTTTCTTACTAACCGTAAAATAAATCTCATTAATTTGTTCAAAATCATTCCAAGCATTATCCACAGCTGTATGATTATTACACTCCTCCAATTGCTTCTTATTCTCAAGACATTTTAAATTAATTTGTTGTCCACGTTTTTCAATTGCTCGTCGTGTTGTTATATCGCTACATTTCTTTAAAAAAAAAAATGAAAGAAAGAAAGGATTTGATAAATTCAATGAAATTTATTTCAATTAAGAAATGATTTAATTAAACAATGCTAAGCTTAAATTTGTATTAATAATAATAATAATAATAACAATAATAATAATAATAATAATAATAATAATAATGATAATAATAATAATAATAACACAACACAATTATAAACTAAAATTTTAAATTAAATGAATTGTTGCAATTAATTTTTATTATAGGAATATTTTTCAAATTATGCCTTTTTAATACTTTTTCCGAAATTTATTTACTATTTTTGTTTAAATAGGAGAGGGTGAATAAGTTTGAAAATATAGAATATAATATAATAAAATATATGATTGATATCATTTTAAATTGCTCAAGTAAACAATAATAATTAACAACTTAATATAATGAATCATAATATTCTAATTCCATGAACGATAATTTATATATTTTTTTCAGGTGTAATTACATATTGCCAGGTGATATGATAATTTATTGATGATTTACATATTAAATATCAAGAAATCTTTCCATTCTTTCCTTCCCTTTTGCTTTTGCAATTTATCAAAAATCTTATAAGTGAATTTAATTCATAACATACCAAATCTTCAGCAATTGATATTATTATTAAAGGAGTAAAAATAATGAAGCCAAGAAGATACATAGTGTCTCTCCGAGTGTATTGTTGAAATATTTTAAAAATTGTTAAATTCAAACGAAACAAAAATTTTGTGCCAGCAACTGCCAACAAACAGATAGAATAGATTGAAGAACACCTGTTTGATAGATAAAGTGTTGATTTATTTTCAACTTTTTACATCACTTTTCACATAAATTATCAAAAGCTCATCAACGGTTGCTTTGAAAATTTTATTTTCCTAACTTTTATTACAAATTAAAATTTGAAAGGCATTACAACTAATAAATTTTGATAATTTAACATATTTCATTTCTTACATTAAGAAAAGAAAAGAGACAAATTGAAAATATTACATATAATAATGGGAAAATAATGAAAATGCAAGAAAATAACAAAATACTAAATAAACAATTTAAATATTTCTGCCAATTCTACCATTGCAAAATAATTCCGTTGAAAAATGTTATTGTCGAAATGTATTAAATAAATATTTCATTCCTCATTTTAAATTATTTTAAGAAAAGAAAAGAGATAAATTGGAAATATCACAAATATCAGAGAAGAAGAGAAATAAGAAATAAAGTAATAGAAATGAAATTTAAACAATTCTCAATAATTTTACTTAATGATTAAAAGTTAATATAATTGATTCATTTGGTAAGTTTTCAAAATTCAACTTTTTCATTTTCACCATTGCATACGACAATATCAGTTGATCATAATTTAATTTTTTATGTTAACTACGAGTGATTTGCAAATTGTTAGAGGAAATGATAGAAGTCGCTAAAATAGTTTTTCAAAATTTATTAGTGATAAAGATTAATATTGATATCAGATTTTTTTTTTCCAGGAAGAAACGTGGGAGAAATTTGACTAAAATGATTTCATTTTTGATTTAATTATCTTACAATTAACATTATTATAATCTTACTAAATTAGCATTTCAAATAACTTTGATTTTGATTTCTTGCTAATTCTTTCGTTAACGATCAATAATCCGAAAATGATCGATCACCTGATACAGATTAAGGTAAATTTAAATATTTAACAATGTAAAAGTTGTTGTTAATTATATAAAAAAATACGCAGGCAAATTATTCTTTTATCAATTTTTACTTTATCATTCTTAATATTTAATCAAGCTAATTCGAATTTAAATTTAAAATGTTACAAATTACTTAATTATTTTCTATGAAATTATAAATTAAAAATTATTATCACAAGCATAAATTGTTTTGAATTAAAAGAAATTACTGAAGAAGAAGAAGCGCATATGATTTATTTACTAATTTTGCAAGTATCAACGAAATATTTTATAGCTTTTTCTATCCTTCACAATTTTAGGATTTTTTTCTTTTCATTTTAAATTTGATAATTTGAATGTAAATTCAACTACTCTCCGAATAGATGATAAATTTGGTTTGCATATCCGATCGATTGCCCTTCGTTATCATTCTTTTCATAATGCAAGCTTTCGTCAATATATCGATAATCTGCCATTTGGTGCCATCCTAATTTATTTTGAATAGATTGATAATTTTGTTAAATGTAGGCCTAGTTTTTGTCATCACTATCAACAAGAGGAATTATCAACAATTAAGAAATCAATTAAATTATTTCTATAAAATATCAATGATAGAAGTGATAATATCAAATCCATTCAATTAATTCAAAATTAATTATTAATATTATTTTTAATTTATATAATGTAAAATTTTAATAATTTGACTTTTTCATCAGTTCAAATTGTTTAAAATGGTTTTTTTCCTTTTGAACTTCTTAAATGACTTTCTTTACAAAATGCATCATTATCATCGACCGATTCATGTTATCCGACTTTGTCGGAGAGAATTAAACAATAGTTGAAATTTCAATTCCAAAATTCTAATATACTATATATTTTGTATTTACTATAGTAAGCAGTAATAATTGTCAATTTAAAAATATTCTCCGAATAAATGATACATTTCATATTTTTTGCCTCTACTAACTTTATATGTATATATTGTTAAAGATTAATTTATATCATTTTCATTTAATGAATTAAATATATCAATCTATATGGATAAATAATAGTTGTAATATTTAAGATAAGATTTAGTTTCAAATTTTCAACCAATTTATTTAATTAACATTATTAAAATATTTCGAAATAATTTTAAGTCATTTAATAATTACTTATTTGTATACCTTAGCAATGTCTATCATATCGTTTTATCAATCGTTTCACTCTTCATTTATCACTTATTATTTGTATGCTATCAGATTTACACGATATTTTTATAACATTTCAAGATCATATAAATTAAGCAATTGCAGTATACTGCAATAGCGAAATAATTAACTATGAGCTGATAATATCAATGATTACTTGTCATTGCTCATTAAATGATTGCGCTTGATTCTCTTACATGCGGATAAATAAAAACAATGACGAATCTTCATATAGCACAAACATTAATAATATTTCACTCCGATGATAATTAATGAGGCCGTTATTGAGAGCAATGATATTAACAAAAAAAAGGAAAATCAGTGATTACGTTGTAAAAAGCATTCGATAGACTATTATCATATCACATAATTAATTGCAAGTTAATGATAAGATGATTTTTTTAAAACTTATCATATTTTTTTCTTTTTTGACTTTTTGATTAAATAATATTATTCTAGGCTATGGCTTTTCGATTAAATTATTCTTGGCTATTCAAATGTAAGCCTTAGAGAATTATTTTTGTTTTGAAATATTGAAAAATTCGATAACAATCTGTTGTTCTCTTGTAAAAAAACACTAGATAGACACTATTGTATCATATAATTAATTGCAAATTAATGATAAGATATGATTTATTTCAAAATTTATCATATCAAAAACTTATCATTTCTTTTTCGTTTTATAACAAATAGTAGTTTTATTATATTTATTTTCAATATCATAAGAATCTGCTACATTTTTGCTGAAATCTATTTCAATGAAAGATGAAATGAAATGCTTTATCAAATAATTGAAAAAAGAAAATTTAAATGCGACATTTCACTTGCTTTTCTTCCACTAAAGAAATATTGCATTGATAAATTATCAATTATCTGTTAGTTGAAAAAGAAAAAAAAGAAGTTTATCAGTTATCCGTTTGATGTAAATAAGGAAATCTTGAATTTCAAAATATGAAAGTGTTGCATTAAACATATATATATATATATATGAACATTCGCTTAGATGGGTTTTTACTATCGGAGATAATTTAAATTATTGAAACAAATGGAAAGAAAGACGATTTTAAGTTAACTTCCTAATAGGTAAAGCAAATAGGTTGTTATTATTATTATTAATTATTACTATTATTTCATCACATTCGCATTGTTTGATATTGACAGGTCTGCGAACTTTAAAATTTTAAAGACTGTCATCATAATTGTAAAACCTGTTTCAACGTTCAATGATGAATAAATGATTCAAGCAGCGTCATTTATCATAATCTTACTCCTGCATTTATCAATTTCCTCTTCCAGCAATGACAAGAAAGCATTACGGATAGGTCGAATGAATGATAAACAGAATCAAAAGATTCAAATGGAGTCAATGAAAAATCAAACAGAATCAAGAAGTACCTTACTTCACCTATTCTCAAAAAAATCATTTGCATCTTCATTATGTCATACACTTTGATCCTGTCCATGTAAACTTCAGTCCATAAATTCCAAAATTTTAATATTCAAATCTGAGTAACAACCCGATTGTATTATAATTTCCTTCATATCCTTATTCCTCTAGGAAAAAAAGAGTATTGCTTCTTTATTTCATACTGCCTTTTTGTATTTTCTAATTTTTCCATTAAAGAATGGACGCAAATCATTTATCACTATCTTACTACAACGATACTTAAGCTTTATTGCAGCAATTCAATGAGTCAGTGATACCTCTTGAATCAAAAAAAAAACAAAACAAAGCAAAGATCCTAGTAAGGAAGGTAAAAATATCGAATTTAAAGTTTATCCGTTTTCATAAGCTCAAGAAATCACTATCATGAAAACTCGATAATCTGAACATGGTGAACGACCATGTTTAGTAATAGCATCCATGAAAAGTTAGAGCCATTGAGATTAATTAAACCAGATACCGACATTACTATACTAATTTTTGTAAGAAATCGCTTAAGAGCAATCAATGCTAGCCTTGTTGTTATCGAGTCTATTTTATCACCGTCACTCACGCATTTTTCTGAAATGCCAATCCCTACTTTTACTTAAGATTTATCTTTCCCAAACACGTTATCTGCACGGAGGGAAAAATAACTTTTTCACCAACGATATGCAAACATACACAATGGTGGACATTTATTTTATGACGACGTACAGAGCAACATGATTTAAATTCCAAAACTAGAAAACTGACAAATACAGTTGAAAATAAAAGCGAAATTTGATTCGTATATAACCAATAAATTTGGTTCATCAAATTCTGGAGAAGGAAATCAATCAACTGCAACTTATTCTATATAATCGTAAAAGGAGGAAATCCATAATTGAAATTAGATTTGCAAATTATAAAAAAACAGCAACAACAATGACTTGGCCGCCTACTACAGCAAGTACATCAGGACAACATTAAACTAAAAGAAATGTTAAACATTACACCATTAACTTAAGAACTACAGAACAAACCATGCACTTTTGCGAGTCGTGAGAACAAAAAATCACGTCCAGGCAAAAGCTATTGAATAATTATGAGAATTTCTTAGATAAACAATAAATATGGATTATTATTGTGGAATAGTGAGAATTAAGATTGAAAAATTGGAATTTAAAAAAAAAAAAACATCGTTGTTTTGGGAATTTCGTTGATGAAGAAAAGAGATAATGTTAAACATTATTTTCAGCCAAGACACTGCATCTAATAAATTAAATCAGCTGAAGATAGTATAAATTTAGAAAACTCAATGAGTGTAAAAAGTAGCATTTGAGGTGCGTGCAACAAGAGAGATTAAAGTAAAGACTTTGCTTCATGTTTTTCTTGAAATTCAACCAAACCAGTATAAATATAGCTCATTCAGCACCAACTGCTGCGGTAGAATCGACTTCTGTCGTTTCAGTCTAAAACAAAGAGATTAGACTTCAATCCTAAAATATGAGTGGAAAATTCGGAGGACGAAATCAAGCCCAAATAACAATTCAGTGAAATTTCTGAATAAGAGTATCATATCTCTCAAAAATTTCAATTTCTGTTAAACTGTGTTGAGAAGTTGGAGAGAGCAACAAAAGTAAACAATCGCTAAACCGTCTAGCTTTGCAAAGCAATTCCTAGTGTTATTCTTCCCTATGATCACCTTCATACAAGATTTAAAAAATTTCAGTTGATTTAAAAAGCACGTCATAACATAAGATGTAAGATGAGGTTTAAAAAGTAAACATCTAATGGAGAGATATACTACATATTCATGAAAATTGAACTTTATTTAATTGTAAGAAACGAAAATCTCAACCTCTTCTGCATCACTCTTCTTTTTTTTCAGTTCCGGCGTAACAGCGTCGTTGCTCGTCTCCGATTCGTCACCATTCTTTTCTCCGTCGTCATTTGCATCAGATGCACGTTTGCGATTCTAAAAATTCAATTTAAATTAAAAAATAAAAATAAACCAGCAGGACAAAAGACGACGCATTTGGTCATTAAACAAATGCTCTTTTTTCTTTCAATTTTTGAAAAATTAAGGACGACAGGTGCAAATTATGTTCCATCGGTCAAAAGTCGAACAGATGTTTTGGTAAACAAATATCTTCAATACATATTAGTCGCTTCAGTTTATCTCGAAGAACAAAGAAAGGATAATGAAAGAATATATTTATTTTCCCGCCAATCAACGTTTCCTTTTTTTACTACATGAAATTTGCAAACCAGTGAGAAGCTAAAGAATGGAAAAAGTCAGCCAATCAGGATTTTTAATGAATTTTCCCCTTTAAACCAAAAATCTTGAATTATTTGAAAGAAAAATAACATTTCTTGTGTTATTGGCAATAACTGCGCTTCCAGTATGTTCTTCGCCATTCTTTGTTTTCTTATGGCTATCAGCCACAACCGCGGCTATCCCTGAACGTTCGTTACTGTCAGCACTGCCATTTTTCTTTTCTTCGTCACCTGATGCGGCTGACGAGCCCGAGTTGGTACGCGATCGGCTACAAATCACCACAATTAATAAATTCTAAACCGAAATTTTCGTCTGCCTAGACATATGGTAGATATGGTAGAGCTTACCTGATGAGAAATATAACTGAAGTCATTAAATGTCAACAAATACGAAACTTCTAAGTAAACGCCATTAAATATATGACTTGTTTTTTTATACAGAAACATCAACGACAACGTAGCAATTCTAAAACATGGCAACACTAATGTAGAAGATCCAATCTGAGTAGTTCCAAGTAGAACTGCCAATAATTAGAAACTTTTACAAAATTATGTTAATACTAGTTTATCTGTTATATTCGGCATTATAGAAGAATTAGAGGATGAGATAAAAAGCACACAAGCAAAGGATTTCTAAGGTCGACGAGAAATGATAAACAATTTATATATGGTTTTTATACATAGCAGAGAGCAAAATTTAAATAATCCAGACATGGTCGATGGAAGCTAGAATCCACAACTAGTGAATTCTTATAAGAACCTGATTATATAATAAAAATGAGAAATTAACAATTTCTAACTATACAAACCTTCTCTCTTCAGACGGGCTTCGTTCCGTTTCTTTTGTGGCTTCAGAATTCTTGCTCCCCGCTACTGCCTGCTTTTCTTCGACGGGAGCAACCTGGAAGATGGCCAAACGTAAGGTTGACTGATGGATTCTGGATATGTGTGTGTGTCCGTATCCTTCAGTAAGTGCAGTTGGATGCACTTCAGGTGTAGTTGAAGAACAAATAAAAATGCATTGCAAGCACGGGACGCACAGTGATAATGAATAATGCCACACACCTGCACAGTTTGTCCATCCACTTCTTTGCCACTCATTTTCTCAAGTGCTTTTGTTGCGCTTTCACGAGAGGTATACCCAATGACACTGAAAACCGTCTTCTATTTGCATGTAATTAATATTATACAAGCAAGAGCTCTCGTGATTAACGTAATCAAGGTTTCGACAAATTCACATCAGTACGAAACCAAGAACCTGATATGACCGAAACCTAAATTTCGGGACTTCACTCCACAATGGCTTTCCTGGAAATTCATCCAAAACTATCTAAAACATTTCTAGTCCAAATTAGTAAATATGATGTGTTTCTATGCAATTCTTCACGAACTCCATATTCCTTAATTATGCACCGTTCATTAGAATAGCAAAAAGTAATATCTAAAATTATCGCTCTATAAAACTTTCGAACTGAACCTAACACTTACTAGTAAACCAGGAAAAAGAAGTACCTAATTAACAAACCCCATGTGACATGCCCTGATTTCCCTTTTGACATCTAAAATCAAAAATATTCCCACTCACTATGAAACCTTTGACAATGTCAAAGAGCATATCAACCAAATGTACCTTGATCCATTCTACATGTTAAATTTCAAAACACATGAAAACAGTGGCATGAGCATAGAGAAACAGAGTGACATAGCTAAGTGCATTCTGGTTTGTAATCGTCGTCTGTTACATAAGCAGATAACCATTACAAACAAAATGCATCTCCATATTTCTCCTTCAGTTTAACACAAAAATACGACCAACTACTGCTAGAGGAAACTGCTGTGTATTGTGTATATCATTCATGGATTTTACACTAAGGTTACTGCAAAAAGTTACTAAATTAGAAATAAATAACTCTTTTTGAAGAACATGAAGCATTAAAAATTTAAAGCAATAAAACTGAAACAAATCTGGAGTTTATAAGACATAGGAACAGACATAAGTGTAATGGAACAAAATCTTTATCTGAAACAAATAATTCGCTTGATTTACTCTGTCGAAATAAAGTAAACAGGGCCACACGAATGAACAAACTTAAAGATTTGTAACTAATGATACGACCATATAAAGCTATTCATTTCAAATATCACTGTTGAAAATAGGAAAAATCGATGAAGTTAGAGAATACAAACATGATTTAAAATGAACGGCCTAAATACGATGTGAGAGCAATGATACGTCAATCCTTCAGAAATGAATATGAAAAGGTCGGAGGAAAGGAGATGCAAACGGGCAACGTCCTCGATACATTTCTTCAAACCAATCCATAGTCCCCTCCCCTTAAACCATTATTTTCTTGCTTTCTTTTTCTCCTCCTAGATTTTTTAAAAGATGAAACCATGACAGAGTCAATCAATCCATCTACTCAAGAGCATGCGAGATGATGAAAAATAGAAATGTTTGCAAAAATGCGAATAGCTGAATATACATTTTACTTTTTCCCGAAATCATTATGTTGACACTATTAACTGATATGATAGCACAATGTTATTGATATGTTAAGAGATATGTTAAGAGAGTATAGTAAAAAACTGAGTTGAAGCAAATTAATCAGAAAAAGACTGCTTAGTCGAATTCTCGATTCAAGACCATTGTCAGTGTGTAATGTATACATAGCAGTAAGATTTTTTCAAAGTGCCAATAACAACTAAAACTGTTGGTACTGAAGTCGGAGGTCATTTAAAAACACACAAACAGTGGAATAGCCAGACATTTTCATTTATGTAAACATCTAACTTGAGAGAAATAAAACATGCACTCATATCCAACATATTCAAGTACAAGTAGTTCTACGGAAATAAACAATGAAAATCAAATAAAAAATAAAAATTAGACAAGAAGGGCTCCTTCAGAAAATGAGAAATAATGAATCGGGTGTTTTTACAGTCCCATTTCTATTTTCACCAGAATTAGAAGCGTTTAAATGAGATATGGATGTGTCTAGCCGCAAATAGGTCCGTACTAAAGTATAATGAAAATTTTGGAAAATGCAAGAAAAAACACCAAAATGAATTCCACTTTCAATAAAAATTGAAACACCACAGAAAATTATATCAGAAGAAATGCTTGAATATTTGAATTATCTCAACTAAATATTTGTGAAACATGGCAGCTGAAATAAGCAGTAAGTAAAATTAAATTTAATTATCAGCATATTCTATATTAGCTAATATGAAAAATTTGGCAATTACAGTGAGCAAACGAGCTTTTAAAAAGGATATCTAACTTTAATGTTGATATACTATTATGCTTGGAAGAATAAAGCAGTTAATGGTTTGTCATTTTATTAAATTTTACTTCACGAAAAATATGCAAAACTTATTGTCATCTAATCATTTATTTTTTGAAAATGTAACTACTTAACAAATGAACTCCTTTTTAATTGTTCTGTTTAGTAACTCAAAACTATCGATTATTTATAGTCGTGTTAACACACGAAATTAATTTAACATTAATGAAATCTATATAGAGTGCGATTATCTTATACTTGGATTCCGTCATCGTTTGATAAGCACCGCAAGAAGAATTTGATAATGTCTAAAAAAGTTAAAAAAAATAGTGTTCAGGCACCGTCACTACTATGCAAAGGATATTTAAATAATGTGGACGCAGTAATGTGCAAATCAATAAGGAACGAAATTTAATTTTTTGTTTTCCTTTATCTGCTATACAAACTTAACATTTAAACATATAACCACTTGTACATTCCTACGGCTAACTTCAAATAAAATGTTTTAATGCTCGTGCTGATTGTCAAAAAATGTGTGCATGAGCAGAAAAATCGTCATGCAAAAAATAATTCAGATGAAGACAAAACCTGTCGGTAAACAACGGTGGAAGTGAAGCGTGGGATTAACAGACGCAATGGAGTGTGATGGAGAGCGCAAAGAAACAATGTCCGGTACCATCAGCAATATGTAAACAATATGCTCCATATTCTAGCACACAGTATTAGCTGCTGATGTACTCAGACAAAAGATTAGAAAGGGAAAAAGAACGATGTGACAGATGGAGGTCTGTTCGCTGTAAAAATGTGCTCATCGGATGGCAAGATGCAGTACCAGCACCCCCACTTCCTTAACATCCCGTAAGATACGATTAATTGCTGGCCGTCGGCCTTTCTAAGAGCATCCCACTTCTCGGTATTCATCCATCCATGCATGCATTCTAGAACTTGCTCTTCCTGATTTTCAACTTTTTTCTTCACCACAACTATTAAAAACTTTTCCACTCTACTGCAGCAATAGAGTGGAAAAGGAATAGAAAGATAAAGGAGAGTGAAGAATTTCTGAGGATGAACAATAGGTGGAGTAGAGTGCTAGGAGTTTGTTAATTTCAAACACTGTAATGCCACCTATGAAAAAACAAAGATGAAGAAAAAGTTTCGCAATAAATATTCCTTGATAACGTATTTGCTTTGGCTATTTATCTTTTGACCTAGTCTTATAACTCCTCACTATTTGTCTCTTGCGACTTATATCTAACCTTTATAATCCCTCATTCTCGACAACACCTACTAAAGTTTCATAACGGAGAGAAATAAGGCCTCCAATGCAAAGAGGAAAAATCCTACGAAGAAGCCAAAATAAGTGATTCAAGACAAAAAAGTGAAACGTGCCGCAACGCAAGAACGAGACGACAAAGAGAAGTCACACTTCCAAAAGTAATTTTGAAAACAAATCGAAGCAAACAACGCTAGATGGTGGATAGATGTTAATGGTTTGGCGAGGCCGGACGATACGCCCTTGAATCAGAGCCAACTGACACACCCTCCATGCACACCTATTCTATATTTTCACCTCCTCCTATCTTCCAAGCGTCAACCAGCCCACACCCTTTACTTCCCTTACGAAATCCACCCAACCCATAGCCAAGCACCTACCCCTTAAATACCCTTCCAATAAGTCCATCTCTCTACTCTTCTCCCACCCTCTTTCTTTTCATTCCTATTCCTACTTCTTGTGCTCCATCATTCCATCCATCCTCCTCCTCCTTCCCCTCTTACCCTCGCTTCTATAACTGCTTAACTAGTTCTCTCCTTCGTTCATTCAATTTTCCAGAGAAAAAATCCACTTTCCACGCGCATACGTTCTTTTGTCTTCCTTCAGCTTTCCCTCATTCCCGGACATCTCGCTATGATGAACGACGTCATTCTTAATACTTTCACCGCAGAATGACACAGCCCACATCATTAATGATTCTATAAATAAATATTGACCTCAAGTTACCTACCTCAAATAATTATGAAAGCATTGTGAAGATATGACGAAATCTAATGGCATTCCATGAAGGATATAATTGACACACAGTACTCCTCAACCAGTTGTCATATAAAGCAAGGGAGACATATAATCTTATTGCTTCTCTTCAAGAAATCTACAAATCAGACAAAGCCATATCCTCTTAAGAAATTATCGTTGTGAATGAGAAAATGAAACCTAATAAGAAATTTTATGGAAATTATCTGTTCATACTAAATGTCACACATAGATACTGTCTTGTTTCAACTACTTATCAATGATAATTTTTATAATTACAATGAAAGAATCGCCTGAAAGACAAGTCTTTAGAAATGCTCAGAGAAAATGATAACATCGTTTGAACAAAACAAAACACAGTATTCGCCGCCCGGCAATTGCAATTATTTAATCCACAAGCTACTTCACTCTCACTGTACATATTATGAACAGATAACTGCTTACGAATTATTCAAGCCACAATAGTAAAAAAGGTCGTTTTGCCATTACTCGTTTTCATGTGATATTATATCACTATTATTCAGGATAGAAGAAAATAACTTTAGATGAATGCTGTCAGAAAACCATTTCATGTTACCAAACAATTTTTTTTATCTAGCATTCTTATTCGGCTACTTTCACCCTAGTGTTACAGTGGAAAAATTCCTATGTCATTCAATCATCACACTTGCAATCCTCTAGCTTCAATAATTCCCTATGATTATACTTAAGCAAATCCCGGGCTAACTTTTTCAAAGAACAATATCAGCATATACCATAATTACTTTTTTTCATAACAGTGACTCTACACGTCAATTGAAAACAATATCAGTTATGCCACGTTTCGAGAAAAAATGGTTATCCGCTACCTGACTACAAATACATTTTACAACGTGTCTTCTATTTCCATCGATGTCAGCGTACATAGTTTTGACTGATTTAAAGGTCTTACTAGTCTTTGGCAAAGTTCTCCCAGTATGATTAAGTTGCTTCCACTAAATTTCTGGGTTCTAAACAAAGTATACTAGGTGAATTTTTTTCCCCTTTAAGCATTAAAGATATTTAGACTTTTTAACAATGTATCAATTGTAGAAAATATATCCTATAAGAAATATTCTTATGGCGAAACGTTCCAATTTGAAGTTTAATTTTAAATAAGAGATAACTGGCCTCAAATGTACGTTTTACCAATACAAGTGACAATGAACCACGTATGCACCCAATACCTGTGTTCATTGTCATCTGTATGGTAAAACGTACATTTGATTGAGGCCAGTTATCTCTTGTTCAAAAATAAAACAAAGATGAGGATATGGGGTAGAAATTATGATCCTTATTCCATACCCATTCATCTGCCTACGTCTATATGTTTTTCATTGTTAAAAAAAAAACTATCCAAACATCAATTCAAACGCCTAACAATCCCTCTTCATTGCAAGAGTATGACAGAAGCCAAGGATTGTCATTAAGGACATGAAGATGCTTCGTAACAGTGAATGTAGACTTGCTCGCAAACAAAATCGACTAATTGATTACCGAATGCTAAAATGCCACATGCATACATATACAAATGCACAAATATTTCTATTGGAGTTAGATGATTAATTACGAGCAAATTATTGCATTTTGAAAACAACTAACTGTTGATTACACTTTTTTTATTCGAAAACCTTAAGACCTCTTGAAACGACTAAATTACTAATCTTAGAAAAACGCAACCTCGATAAAATATATTGATTCCTATCTCTTCCTATTGCGCGCTACTTGCCAAAAGAAGGATTCATGCTTTTCCGAGAACAAGAAAATCATTGAAAAAAAAAAAATTAAACTACAAAAAAAGTTGAAAACAGATGTAAATTATTACTCTGAGTTAGTCCTACACAACTGGTCTTAATTACATATTTGCATAAAACTAGATATGTACACATAATGATTTTTATCCTAGCAATCTTTCACAGCCACTTGCTGTTTAAATTCAAGCCCTCCCTTTTCCTGAATAATTATGAATCCTACGAAAATATGATACAACTCCTTATGCTTGTGAGAAATATTAACAATAACCAGCAATTGTTGGATATTATATTATACGCTGGCAACACTATAAGGAGCTCGAAAGATTGAAGAACCTATATGTGATGTATAATCTTTTATACCATCTTCGCTTGTATGATACTCTTTATGCAACATGAGCGAAGATAGTATAAAAGATTATACAGAAAATTAAACTACAAAAAAAGTTGAAAACAGATGTAAATTAAATAAAACGGATAATGACAATTATTCAAACATACCAAGTATTGTCATCGCGCATCTCGAAATCTGTCAAATCACCATATTTCTTGGCAATATGTTTTAAACGCTGAAAACAAGTTCATTAAAATAATGAATAAGTCCAGAAGAACTTTTAGAACGAAATTTTTGAAAACAAATTGGAAAAAAATCAAAAAAGAACCATCGAAATCCAGAATCAAGAGTAATGCGGCGTACCGCTATTTTATAATAATGCATTTCGCGGGCTCAACAATCCAAATGAATGGTTACGGGCGATGATACGGGGCTGCGCGATGCAGTTGCGGAACGAGTCGTCTGAACAGAGCATATCACGTGATGAGGCGGTTGCGTAGTCTGTTGACTCGATGTATGCACGAACGTCTCGCCATGGACAACACGCAAGATATGGATATGGTTGGATGAACCAGATGATTTGAGTGCGCTGTGAGCATACGAACGAACGAACGAACGAACGAATGAATGAATGAATGGATGGATTGTATGGATGAACGTGAACGAACGGTAGATGTTTGTAACACAACATTCACATTTATGCACCACTCGGATAATGATGCGCTGGTGGCAATGGTGACGCATAAAAACATATCCCATCAAACTTCTGAATCCGAATATTTTTTTCAATACCTAATCACAATGGTACCACACCGTTACACGCTTTTTCTTTTAAATCTGGCTAAACTCTCGAAAACTATTCTGTTTTTGTAGTTTTTGTATGTTTTTCAATCCTTAATAGCAGTTGGAAAACCATACAATGTCATCTTAAGCCTAGCCCAAAATTCCGACAATCATGTACAATTCTAAACAGCATCAACTAAGGAGAAAGGCAATTAGGCACCAATGTTGTCAAGAAAAATGAATTCTGTTCAGCTCAACAAGATTTGTAACACATGAAAGTTCCAACTCAAAACGAATGATGTAGAACTACACGGAATAACAAAATCTAGAGAAAGAATACTAACTGAACCTTCTCAAATTTGCCTTTATTGTCGAAACCGCGAACAACGATGCTACACGTATTTGTTCCACCACGATCTGCACTTCCTTCCTAAAATTTTGTATAAATCCCTGATCATTTTAGAAGAAATTATTTGATCAAATATAATGCATTGCTTGACGGAAAGAAAGTACTTATTAAAGTACCAATCAGTAACAATTATTGGAACAACAAAAATCAAAAAAACGAATAATGATTTTTATAATGAACGAATAATGAATGATTTTTTTTGAACGCAAATATATTAAAGTCTGAACATAGAGCCATAGAATTAGTTGTTTTAAGGGTTTCTGCCGATTTAAAATGTCATTTTAATAAAAGAATGGCGAGATTTAAAAACCTCAATTGTGAAACAAAATTGTTTCATTAAAATATTATTGAAGATTTAATTATACCTTTTCCGAACTGCTCCGATATTTTCGTTCCTTACGTTTATCCTTAGATTTTTTTACATCTGGACTGGGTGAACGACTTGATGAACTTCTGTCACGCTTCCGTTTTCTGTCAGAACCCGATTTCTTAGAATTTTTCTTCGGACTTAGGCTCTGTGACCGCGATGATGAGCGGCGACGGTTATCCTCAGGAGATTCGCTTTCACTTGATGAATGTCTTCTAAAATTTATTTGCCCAGCCTCCAAGAAATTCTGGTTGGAGAGAAAATTACTCCAATAAAGCAAAAAGGCAAAGTAGGAAAACAAAATCTGAAGATATTCCTAAAATTACTCCAGCTTATTTCGAATAAATTAATAACCTATGTTAATCAACCACAACAATGAAAGAATTAGAGAATTTAAAACTATCCTATCAGAGCTTCTAAGAACCATCTGGTATGCTAAGGAAAAATTCCACACCTCCAATGCCATACAAAAGCTTGATTTTTAAAAAATTTTTCTAGAAAAATTTCAAAATTAAAAATTTTGCATTGCTAGAAATAAAAATGTTGTATAAATGGAAAAAGAATAGTAGGTCATTCATACCTTTTTTTTCGATCACGACTATGGCTTCGTTTCCGATCACGGCTCCGACTGCGTCTTCGATCTCGTGAACGTGATCGTTCACGCATCCGTTCCCGATACATGTCGCGTCCACGTGGACGACTTTTAGCATTCTGCACTATTACCCTAAAACAGCATGAAATTGCATAACACACAACTAATCCTCTCAGGTATAGATTTATCGAACGATAGAGTTCATGCAAATCATACAGCGTCCAAATTTTACTGTCGTCATTGATGAATAACCTACTACACTATAACTTAGAGTTCACTTTGATATTTTTGAACCAATAAAATGAAAAAAACCTGTCGCCCAGCAACGAACGACCGTTCAAATCATGGACCGCATCTTCCGCATCTCGACGATCTGAGAATTCTACGAAAGCATAACCGTTCTTGAGCAGTATTTCCGTGATACGACCGTAGCCCCGGAAGAACCGCTCAATGTCACGTTCGTGCGCTCGGTAAGACAGTCGTCCGACGTAAACTCGAGATCCCATAGCGAACTAAAAAATTTAAAACCAAGTGTCTTGCATGGACCAAATGACTCATTAGACGACTGGTAAGATTTAGAAAGAATTCGAGCGATTTGTACGGAAATTCCGTGAATACAAACACAAGCAAATATAAGCAAACACGAACACAAACATAAACGCACACACACACACACACACCTTATTACGCCGACCCCACGCGTACGAGCGTACCCGTGCATTCGACCAACCTCAAACCACATGTCATCGTGGCACATACGCTGCGTAGGAAATTCGAGTGAGTCATCGTGGTGATCGTTGATCGTGGATATGGCGAGTGGGGAGTCACATTGTGGATAGGGAGACGTTATCTTCTAAGCTTCTAACATTATCTTAAGCTTCTTTGAGCCTTCAAAAATGAGGCTGTCTTGGTCCGATATCATCCTTACGTCGTGGCAATAAACTATTTAAAAATAATAGCATATGATTCAATCTCTCCAACTATACTTTATAACACACATGAAAGTCCTGTAGTGATATTTTCCTCACAACGCATAACGTTCTAAAGGAATAAGCTGGGAATTGGAGAATATACGCAGAAATCCTGAAAAACGAAGAAAGAAACTAGCAATCCTGAAGTGCTAGTTGCAAACTATAAATCGTTAAAGTGGATTTCATTTCACTTCTCATAGCTGTTGCTATGCAACGGTAGCATAAGACGATGGGTGATCATGGTCTTCATTTTGGTTGTGGAGGGTGGTGAGACTGATTCTTCGATAGATCATGATAGAATATTTGGGATGTGCAATAAATCCTTCGAATTTATCTGTTTCTCATTGCAAGAGGGTTGCATCTGTCACATATCAATATTTAGAAATCTGTAGGCTATAGCAATTGTGATCTCAAAAGTTCTTGCATTTTCGTGATGGAAACCGCCCATATAATTGTGGTTACATAGTTGGTTGGATAAATAGTTATAAATTTAGTGGTTTACTCAAAAAGAATAAGAAGTGGATGATATTACGACATGTTGAAAATGCGCATTTTAATTGTCTATTTATAAGTTTTTATTCACCTTGAGTATTTGTCGTGTAAGCTGAACAGTCACATAATTTATATCATAATTTTATACGGTAGATTTACATGTGGTTATCATATTGTATGTCATTTATTAAGGAGGCTATAAAAGAAATCAGTAAAAATGTGACAGCTAGGATAAATCGATTTTCATTTAGGCATAATTCCACCTTATTCTCTTGCATGGTTTTTTAATTTGTTTGTTGGAAGATACATTTTGATCATCGTTTGCCCATTCATCAACATGTTTACTGTTTGGTGACTTTGCTTTACTGCTGTACTCTCAGTATGCTGCAGTACACTTTTTATTATGCTGATGCATTAAGTTTCCATACTGAACAAAATTCTAGGATTGAAGATGTTACATTTTTCGTCCAGATCATTACATATATATTAATACATAAAGTATTAATATATTAATACTTTATGTATTAATATTTACCTGGCATCTTCAATTTTTTGGGATTTCAGAATGAAGCTGGTGCGTTTTTTGATGAAACTGGCTCACGAGAGTGTAACAATAGAATTGAAAAATGGAACGCTGGTAACAGGTACCATTGTTGGCGTCGATGTAGCAATGAATACTCATTTACGGACGGTCAAAATGACACTCAAGAACAGGGAACCCGTTTCCTTAGATTCACTGTCAATCAGAGGTCAATTTATAGTTTCTTAAATTATATACTAAGGCAGCGGTTATCCAAAATATGGATAAGTCTCAAGAAGTTGATTTGAGCAGCAAGTATAAAAATAATTTTAATTTGGTTGCATGTGCTAAAATATTTTAAGAATCAGATTTAAGATGGATTTATCTTTTCGAAGTAGTTTTTTATTTGTGCAAGCTAAATGCTCTGTGAAATTATCGAGTGGTTCCAGTGAACATATGAATACGGTAACTGTTTGGATTCTTCCTCAATAGTGTTGATCGGTCTTCTGCTTTAGAAGCTGGTTCAATATAACTGTCGATTTAAAGCTTGAGACAAGATGAAAGAGATCTTTCCCCCTATTTTCATGAGGAAATGCAGCGTACGAGTTGTATTCACTCTCGCCATTGTCTACAACTTTATATTTCAGCGTAACTTTTGAACTTTGCTGACATTGTGAGCATTTTAGCAAAACTTCAATCTGCTCCGGCCTCAGAAACATTCCATGAGGATCGATCGCTTTGATAAATTTAGAGTTATCTAGATAAGTTGGTTGATTAGTAAACTTTAAATGAATTTGAAGTGGATGTAGTTTTACAGGTTGTTAATAAAATATCAAAGGATTATCTTTTTTAGGAAATAACATTCGGTATATAATTTTACCTGATACAATTCCTTTGGATACATTATTGGTTGATGATGAACCACGCAAAAAGCCGGCACGTGGAGGACGTGGTCGAGCTGCGCCAGCTCGTGGTGGACGAGGACGAGGCCGTGGTAGAGGTGGGCCTCGTGGTCGTGGTGGTTTCAGGGGTGGGCGATAAATTTCCGCTACAATTAATATGCGTCATTATCTTTTATACGTTGAATTTTGTGCGTACAAATTGGAACAGAAATTTATTGTTGCGTCCTTCCCTCCGATATTACTCTTTATGTAGCTTTTTTATTTAATTACAGAAGAATATTATGTCCTTATGTTCCAAACTTTTTTTTCAATGATTCTGTTAAAGGATAATTATAACTCAAATATAATGCTCTGAGCTGAAGCTAAACATGTAGTTCAATTCTGTTCATCAGTTGAATTATTTCCAAACCTTTCGAATTTGGAAAGTTGCCACTTTTTTGAATAATGTTGAAAATCAAAATATGTTTCATATTTCGCATGAAAACTTGTGAGTTGAAGTTTTCGTATAGCTTTTTTGAAGTTTGTATCCATGTTATCTACATTGTTCAAATTTATTTTATAGCTTTCTTATTTATGCAATTCATGTTGTTACTTTTTTATGATCTCTATTAAAATTTACTCCCAGGAAATCGGACGTGAGCACCCATTCGTTTATACAAGAGCGGAAGATGTAAGTTATGTCAAATGTGGTTTGTTCCCAGATGGCTTGAAACAAACGAGGAGGCATCGCCACAATTTAGTCAATTAAGAACACGCAAGTATAACTAAAATGGTTTGATAACTGATCTTGTTAGTCATTTAGAAATGGCTTATTCATGGATATATGATGCTTTGCTGTTGGGATACGATTGTTAACATCTACGTGTTTATTGACAAGGCTATTCTGGTGATTAGTCAAAGTTTTGATTCTTCTGTTCTGTAGCTACCGATAGTGACTATGGAAGTTTGATAGTTGCAGGTTGCTAAAGAAACTTGACACTAAAATTAAATTTACTGACGAAAGCTTGGAATTTGTATTTATGACTGGCATGCTCGTATATTTGTAGCTAACTTACTGCTGTACACACAATGTTGTTTCGTCTAAGTCAGCAGTAATACCAATATTTCCAAACAAAAAAAAAATCCATCAATTGAATCACTTTTTTAAATTTTATTTGCGATACTTATAAATCAGGGTCATGTTAAAAAGGCGCTATCTTCTCTAGATAACCATGGCCATCGTTTTTACGGTCATGACCGTGGATGTCAGAGAGTTGAAAGATTTGCACTTGGTATATTCAAGATCTGATGTTTTCTAATTTGGTACCGTGAGATAATTCGCATGTGCCGCGTTTTTCTGATAACGTTTTCATTGAAGATTTGCAAGACATTTGTATTTCTTTCTTTTTTCAGACATCAGTATAATGATGACGGTTTTTTTGTTGAGATTATATATCACATAATAAATTTATTACAATAGAGCTGGAAAATGGTGCAATGGTGAAGTAGCGATGAATTTCCGTTTAAATTGTGCTGTAATAACGTTAAAAAGTGAAGAATCTGTTTCTCTGAAAGCAGTTTCAGTCAGAGGTACATTTATAACGGTAATTATTAGGAACGATAGGCAATAACAGTGATCGATATCACAGTAGAATGGTAGGTATGAAAGTTTGACAAGATTCAGATTTATCGAGCGTTCGATTATGTAAGGAACCACTAATGATTTTCTCAGACATTTGTATTAGATTTGTCAGCTTTGGACACCTTTTAAATGTGGAAAAAGTCGATGTGTGCTTAGCTATTGAGCTTAGGTCTTGAAAAGGCGTAGAAAGCCCAAAAGTCTGTAATGTTTCCTATTTCTGCAGTTATCAGGGTAGTATTCGTTATTCCAGCCTAAACATCAAAATAAAGATGGTTGATTTAAATAGCACTGAATGAATGAGACTCCGATTTTTTTTAGGCAATAGAGTTTTTCTTTCTTTTTCAGGAAATGATAAACGATATGTAATTTTTCGAACATTCTGAACTTGAATGCGCCAATTCTTAATGTTCCACAACAAAGAAGGAGAACGTGAAAAACTTCCAGCCAAGTACATTAGAGTGACGTAGCTCGTGGTTGGGATGTTGCAGTTTGTGGTAGACGCGGTCAGATTTTGGGAAGCAATCGACACTCTGCGAAAGGTGGTGGGCGTGGTAACACTAAATCGTTGAATAAATGATGAATTTCCGCCTTCTATATTTTTCATATCTGTTTTCTTCGTTCCTAGTTTGTGCATTGAAAACGTGAATACGACATATTTTCTATTTTAATTCAGTGGTTTTTTTGCAATGTTTAAAATAAACATTGGTTAATTTAATTACGAAAGATCGAAAGAGGATATATTTGATATACAATAGAATTTATCGTTAAGTGATAAATTTCTCTTAATATCATCCGTCTTTTGGTTTATAGCTCGCGAACTTAATCGTGACGATGTTACTGCACATTGTTTAGAACAGCAATTTCACATATTACTTATATCTAGCCCTTTCTACTTAATCTTTATTGAACAGAATCGTTGATATTCTTGAAATCTTTCTCCTTTTTTTTTAATTTTGAGAATTTGCTAAAAAAATGTTAAACATTAGAATATGTTTAACATTTCTTCCATTCTATCTCTCCTAAATTACTTATACATCTTAATTGTATTGTCTATTTCTACTAATATTGTTGCTTTTCTTTTTCCAATATTTTATTAGTGATTTTCCAAAATAAATTATAGACAAAAAAAGGGAATATCACCAGAGAATAGTTATTATTGGTTGTTCATCTAAAAGTTAGCGGAGAAACAAGATATTGTTGGTGAAGAAAAAAATCTTGTTTTGATCAAATCTCTTGGTTTTCGTTTTGATCATCCAGAATGGAATCCAAAGCCTGATAAGGCAATTTGTTGCATTTTATAATCCACATAATAACTTCACATATGCTTTTACCGTTCGTTATAAACGAAGCAGTGATAAAACAAATTAATCATCTATTGTGAACAAATCTTATAAATGCTACCGAGAACTTTTAATGACATGATTTGTTAAAAAGGAAATCAGCCGTTTTTTCTCATTAAATAATTTTTCTTATTGATAAAATATATAATTAATTCAATAATATTTTAGGCATAAAATAGAATCTGCATTTTCAAGGTGTTATTTTAGTCGTGAAGGTGTAATAGACGAAGAATTATGGAAATATGAAGTCGAAATTTGGTAATCTTTCATTCATTTTGCTGTAAGCAACCAATTTCAACTGCAATATTTTTTGTTGTCTTTTACACTTTTTTCTTTTATCGTAAAAAATAGTAAGTTTAAGAGAACATTCTGTTCCCGAGATGACTGACTGTCAAAGCAACCAAAAACAAAAAGAAACATTTTTGTTGAATGAAATTTACTGTTAAGAAAACTCCACACTGCTAATTACAAAAAGTTCATTTTGATTTTTCAACAATTAAAATTTCTCAAAAAATTTCTCATTCAATTATTGCTATTTTCTTTTCCTGTATCATAATAGGCCTAATTCAATTTCAAATAAGATATATTATGGAAAATTTGAAAATTTCTAAAAATGAGATTTTTTTTAACTTTCACTGTCAACTGTCAGCAATTTTAGCTTTTTTTTTGTTATTTTACTCCCACTCAAATAGTAAATAGGCTGCAGAAATTGATATGTTGGAAAGAGTTTGAAAGCTTAAATTTTGCCAACATGCTGCTGTAAACAGGAGAGATCGGCAATACAAGGGTACTCAAGGATAATGTAGGCCCATTTAGTGGAGTATTTAAAGACGTCTATTGCCTTATTGCTTCTGAAGCTAATGCTTCATTGGCTCTTGAAGCATTTATAAGACATAGGTAATTCAATTGGAAATTAAATAACAGACTTTTGCCATAGCAAATATTTATATGTATGAAAATATGAAAAGCGAAATTACTACTCACTGTTTACTCATTCTATTCTTTGCATATATTTAAAATTTTTTTTCTGTTTTCTTTAAAATTTAATTCTTAAAACTTTTTCAGAAAAAAGTGATATTTCTTTGAGGAAATTGCTGGTAAAGTTTTATTTACTATAGACTGATAGCGATCGAGTAGTTGAAATGATTTATTAATTAATGGAAGGATAATAATTTAATAAATAACGATCGTATAGTTGAAATGATTTATTAATTAATGGAAGGATAATAATTTAATAAATAACGATCGTATAGTTGAAATGATTTATTAATTAATGGAAGGATAATAATTTAATAAATAACGATCATATAGTTGAAATGATTTATTAATTAATGGAAGGATAATGAATGATTCATTAATCATAATTTCTTTTTTTAAAGAATTCAATATTTCTTTAGATAAATTTTCAGCAAATATTTATCTCTTAATAATTTCAAATAAAAGAATTGAAAGAATTTTATGAAATTTTGATTACTGCAAAAATCTGAAATATTCTGCTGTTAAAATCATTTCCTAAATATAATAATTCAATTGATTATTCCGAGAAAAAAAAGGCGATTTAATTATGACTAATTAGAAATAAAAATTATAAAGTAGTTGTTTATAAAGAAAAAAAGGAACGATTAAACTTTATCAATGAGTAAAACTTTTTGCCAACCTTTTAATACACAAATATCGTTCATTTCAAATTAACCTAATCTTATATGTGAATTTAAAATGGTATGAAATTCAGCATCTCAGCTTTTTGGTTAACTTTCTCTGCCTACTCGATAATTTTGTAATTTCAATTTTTGCACTAATCTGAAATTGCCAAATTTTAGATTGTCTGATACAGGTATCGAAGTGCTTCACTAAAACTGTTACAAATATTTATGCCATATTTATTAACTATATCCAAATTTGATAATGAAATTTCAAAAAAAAATGTATAATGTAATGTTTGAAATGAATGATATTTGTATTAGAAATTTTACAATAAAAGGCATAATGATTTTTTTAAAAATTTTTCCTCTTTTTTAATAATTAATAATTTCGTAATTTAAATTTTATTAACTTAATTAATTGTTTTAAATTTTCATTAACCTAATTAATTCTTACAATTAATAAATTGTAGTATTCTGAATTATTAAAAAAAAAAATTAGATGAATACCTGTAAAAAATAATTCTTCCAATCAACAATATCAAAAGATTATTAGTAATATCAAAACATTGAAACATATCTTTTTCTCATAAAATTTTTGTCAATAAAGTTTTCATTTAAAAATAAAATTCATTTGAGAATAGTAATAAAACAATTGAAAATATTTTCAATACTAAATAAAATCATTTTTTATCTGTAAAAATTAGAATGAGTAAATTTATTTATAATTCTTAAATTATGTAAATAGCATCATCCTTTCTGAAATCAACAATTTATTTATTGTTATTGATAAGCCTCAATTATTCTTTTGTTTTTGAAGCGCTTCATATTTTGCTTATCCAAACTTTTCGAACATTATGTATCATCACAATAGGAACGAGAGTGATGATTGAGAATTTCTGATTTTTAAAAGATATGAAATTGTTAGAATATGAAAAATATAATAATAGGTTTAATTTAGTCCTCCTGAAATATCCTTTTTTTAATAAATGCATTTATCATTTATCACAGTGATAATTACGCTGTTAGAGAAATTGTTTTCCCTTTTTTTATTGCATAAATCTTTAAGAAAAAATGAAATGATAGAAATGATAAAAGAGCTTGAAAAATGTGAAAAATGAATGAGAAGGAATAAATTTATCATTTTTTTTCTATTTTAATTTTTGAATTTTAAGTAATCAAATTTTGAACGGATATCAGTCTATCTTGAATGGATATCAGTTTATCTTGAACGGATATCAGGTTATCTTGAACGGATATTAGTATTTCGAATTTTGAATTTTGAATAATTAAATTTCGAATAATTTTGAATGGATATCAGTTTACGTTATTTCGAATTTTGAATTTTGAAATATATTTGTTTTGAACGGATATCAGTTTATGATAAGTAGACATTCTATTATTATCATAAATAATAGAAAAATTAATTATGCATAAATAATAAGTAATTTATTTGTTTTCCAAATTTGCTGTTGAAATAATTTTTAATCAAATGCATTTCAAATTTTTGAATTCTACAAAAGTCAAAGATGTTTTTTAACTTTTTATTTTCATAAATTTTTGATGAAAAATTATTAGTTCCTTTTTTTCTGCAAAATAATTAGGAAAATGAAATGAGCTCAATAAAATTGATTGAAATGAATATTTGAAATTATAAGACTTTTCGTCGTGATATTCAAATTTCATCTGTAAGCAATTATGCAACAAACAAGTGAAACTAAACTGAATGTTTTGGAATTACTCCAATATCCAATTAATAAAATTACATGTTCCATATATTCTGATTTAACAATTACATTAAATTCCGTTATAATTCATATTTATTCATATTCTTATATTCCTGATCATCCAATTTTAGGTATATTATTGTTTAATTATTTCACAAATTACATATTACATAAATTAAATTATTATTTCAGGGCTTAATTATACTTTTTTTTTAATTCATAAATTTGTTTTTTCAATTAATAATTTCTATATTCTATTTTTATTTTCCATTTTCCTCATTTTTTTCTTAAGATATTTCATATTATTCTTTTTATATTTTAGCAATTTGCTATCAATTAATTCATTTTATTTCTCTTTCAAAAATTCAAATTTAATAAATTTTTAATTTACACTTAAAGAATTTAATTTATATTATATTTTAAT